TTAATATTTGTAATTTAACATTTTGTTTTATATATTTCCTGATTCTTAGAGGTAATTTAAATTGTATATAATCCCCCGGAAATGAGTCATATTAATATCTGTTTTATAAACTAAAATAATATATACCTAATCTGAACTACTTTTAATGAATAGGTGATGGATTGTTTAGTAAAATTCAGATATCGCTATAAAAAAAAATCATTTTATTCGAAAGTTGAACCATATCATAAAAAATATCAACTTTTAATATTAAATGCATTATTACCTCTGCACCAAATAAGGATGGAAAGGGCGAAGCTATAAGTTCTTCTAGGAAACTGGAACTGATTGTTAGTATCTGGTCTCAAAATGAGGGAAAACGCGAAATTGAACCCAAACATTGGAAAAAATTCATTAAGCGAACGACAAAGGAAGTGCCAAAATTTGGGAAAAAGAAAACAAGGATCAGTATCCGTTATATGGCTAAACGAATATATAGTAGACAAATGAACAGAATATTTCAATATGCTGCTAAAAGGGAGTCAAAATGCTTGATCAGTTTGGATGATATTAAGCAGGTTTATTATGGTGAAGACCATTTCATCAGCAAGAAAGATTTGTTCTAGGCAATTGGCAAGCAAGTCTGGAGGAAGTAAACGAGGTTTATAATGGTGTAAACCACGTTATTTTAGATTGCTATTGAAGTTGTACATTGGGACTATCTTCACTTTGAAGCAGGTTATAGAGAGGTCTACCGAGAAAAGAAAATAGCTCTCCTCCTGTTTAGTGCAATTGCAAAAGATTTTTGAAGGAATCTGAAAGGAAAACGAGCTTTTGTGAAAGACTAGTAGATATTAGATCAATCCAAAGTGTGAGGCACTAAGCCGATAGAGAACCATTCTTTTTTCTCTGTGGTCAGCTGGTCTGGACGAAGTTACCCGAAATGCTGTGCGTACCAAAGAAAGTCTACTCAAGAATCGTAGAAGCTAAAATAAGAAATATTGTCGATTGTTTGAGCGATATGGATTGAGAAACTCAAGTTGCACATTGGAACATAAGTTGCAAATTGGGATTTCTTCACTTTAAAGTAGGTTATAGAGAAGTCCACAGAGAAAGAAAAATGGTTCTCTATCTGCTTAGTGCCTCACACTTTGGATTGATCTAATATCTACTAGTCTTTCACAAAAGCTCGTTTTCCTTTCAGATTCCTTCAAAAATCTTTTGCAATTGCACTAAACAGGAGGAGAGCTATTTTCTTTTCTCGGTAGACCTCTCTATAACCTGCTTCAAAGTGAAGATAGTCCCAATGTACAACTTCAATAGCAATCTAAAATAACGTGGTTTACACCATTATAAACCTCGTTTACTTCCTCCAGACTTGCTTGCCAATTGCCTAGAACAAATCTTTCTTGCTGATGAAATGGTCTTCACCATAATAAACCTGCTTAATATCATCCAAACTGATCAAGCATTTTGACTCCCTTTTAGCAGCATATTGAAATATTCTGTTCATTTGTCTACTATATATTCGTTTAGCCATATAACGGATACTGATCCTTGTTTTCTTTTTCCCAAATTTTGGCACTTCCTTTGTCGTTCGCTTAATGAATTTTTTCCAATGTTTGGGTGCAATTTCGCGTTTTCCCTCATTTTGAGACTAGATACTAACAATCAGTTCCAGTTTTCTAGAAGAACTTATAGCTTCGCCCTTTCCATCCTTATTTGGTGCAGAGGTAATAATGCATTTAATATTAAAAGTTGATATTTTTTATGATATGGTTCAACTTTCGAATAAAATGATTTTTTTTATAGCGATATCTGAATTTTACTAAACAATCCATCACCTATTCATTAAAAGTAGTTCAGATTAGGTATATATTATTTTAGTTTATAAAACAGATATTAATATGACTCATTTCCGGGGGAGTATATACAATTTAAATTACCTCTAAGAATCAGGAAATATATAAAACAAAATGTTAAATTACAAATATTAAATAAAAAATTCAAGATATTCTGCAAAGTATTTTTGAATTAAGTTGTATTATTATAATCATATAATTGTTATAATAGAGGCCTTCTTAAGCGACCTCCGTATAGAATAAAGGAAGTTAAATTTAAAAAAATAAATAATAATAGATAAAAAAAATAATAATCAATTGAAAAAAAAAATTTTGACAAATAAATTATTTTATTAATATTTGTTCGTTAGTACAATCAATATAATATAACAAAAACGTTATTATAGCACTATAACTAAGCCATTTATGAGTACTGAGTGGTGTGGTAGAGGCCTGAGACACCCACGCCAGTAGCGCTTTTCTGCCGCTTATGTACATTTTCTACGGAACTACTTCAAATATTTTAAAAAGGAATCAGTGTTTTAGAAAGAGAAATGTATTCTCCAGATGTTTTATTTCAGCACGTTTTGCATTATTGTTGACCGTTCAATTACAAACGACGCTTGATTTTCAACTTGAAAATTTTTTTGTAAAAAAAATTGACTTTACCGATTTTTTTTAATGCCTAAACCAATTAGTTTTTAATATTTTTTCATTTTTTATTATTCTATGACTATCCAGCTTTAATAAAAGACCAACTATAATGAAATTAAGCCAAATGCTGATTCTCAGTAACAAAAAAACTAACTAAAGTCAAAGTCGTCAATCCGCCATGTTTGGACGCCATTTTGGGGCAGTTCGTTCACTTTTTTTTAATAAATTGTCACAAGGAACACAACGATATGCAATTTATAGGGATGTGGGAGGGGGGGGGGGGGGGCACGGTAAGGGGGTCTGGCCCACAGACTAGCAGCTGTTTTGTATAGATTAACTAAACAAATGAGTCATATGGTGACACATACTTCAGAAAAATCAGCTGGGCGATAGATCAATAACATAAAAACAAGCATTGTTAAGGCTATATTCCGAAAAAAAAAATACATCTACGTGCCATATTTTTCCCCAGTCCTCTGATTAACTAAACCTTCCAAAGATAAAAATTGAATTTTTTTACAAACGACTTTTTGCACTAACAGTAGCGATACGTATTTAATAGTTATGTTTTCTCTCCATGATTGAGGAGGAAACAAAGACGACGAGCTGGTTGGGCATAGAATAGAAATAAACAAGCAAAAATGAGATTTTTTTTTTTTACTAAATTGATTTAAATTTACTGAAAATAACATGAAATCTAAGTAACGGCAGGAAGTAAGTTTTATGACAGTAACGTTTGGAATCCACTAAACAATGCAATATAAATTAACATTTTGAATAAAACGTAAAATTGTATAGCCTCATAAAAATAATGTATTAGCCTAACCACCTTTACATATGATCAATGCCTTCTACATTTTACAGCCATTATATAATTAACGCTAATTTATAGTAATTATAATTATTAAATGGAATTGAATGAAATTAATACAAGACAATGTCTAAACTATACTTCGAATTTCCTCCAAGTTTGAATCAAATCAAACGAGCCGTTTTCAAACTACAGTCGTGTCAAATAATACATTTCCTGCGCTGACAGCGAAAGTATTTTTTTTAAAGTAGTGGATAGAATTTGATGAAATTCATACACACTTCATTATCTGTTTATTAATCCCTAACTTTCCTACAAATTTGAGCCAAATCGAACGTGCGATTTTAGAGACATAGAGACGTATCAATGAAAACAAGTTTGCGCATATATATAAGAAAGCAGTGGACGGAATAAAATTGATACTACATTATTTATTTACCAACACCTAAGTATTGTCCGGCTTTGATTAAAATCAAACGAGCCTTTTCTGAAATATTGGCATATCTAAAAAAAATCTTTTGCGCGAGCGTAAGCGGAAGTGAAGGATAGAATTTGATAAAATTGATATGGGACCATCTAAACAACCTCTAACCCGCACAACCTCTGAAAATTTCATGAAAATTGAATAAAGGATAGTATGTGATGTACTAGTAACATCGATTTCACTACTGAAAGACACCAAATTTGATTCTTGATTTCTGAAACGTAAAACACAAGTGGAAATTTTTTGATAATGAGGACAAAATTCTGTTTAACCTCATTGCTGGAATTAAAAGCTTTTCTACAGTCAGTAGCAAGGAAGCAAAAAAATAAAATAAATAACACGAATAAATTCCAAAAATTTATATAGTTAATACACAACTCCAATACAATTTAGAAAACAATGAATAGATAATTATATTTAAAGATAGCGAATAATTTAAATTTGAGGAAGCAAAAAACAAAATGCAAGATAATGAATATGAACAGAACAGAAACAATCTGGTTACCCACTTAATGAGAATTAGATGACAAATACAACATCTAAATATTCATTAAAGAGACACATTATTCTATAATTATAATTTTGATTAAAGTTTTATTCTATCTTCTAATTGGCTGCTTATCAGGAAATTCAAAAGGGTCCTCATGTTATTATTAATACAATCATAGGAGAAAAAAAATTGACAAAGAGCCTTTATCTTCATTTTGCACGTGACTGTAAGATTACATGTTGTAATGGTCATGGAATCATGTATGATAATGGTATTTTATAATCTCTGAACGGTTTTGACACACCGAGCAGCGTGATTCCTTGCAATGATTAAGTAAATTAGATTGTGATCAGCTTGATCTTTGAATCATACAAAAAAAAAAGTACATGATAAATATGGACCCTAAAATGAAACACTTAATGTTAAGTAAAAAAAAAAATTATATGACACCTTTATGTTAACTTTTTAAATCAACTAAAGTAGTCAGAATACCACAATCATGTTATATAATTCATCAAATAAAATATTTTTAATTTATGGTAATGATCTGAATTTACTTCCTTTATATAATGTTTCTCCCTAACATATCATTAAAATATATGATAAAATACATACAGTGTCAATTAGGAATAACTAATTGTTCAAAAGAAATGACAAGTTGTGGTAAATAAAACAAAATATTGATCTATAGTATTTAGAAAAATTAAGCTCCATTCTTAAGTCAGTTGCAAACTATAACCATTACTCAAAATCTTTATCCCCGGCTAACACCTTAAAAAATTAAAAAAAAAAAAAACTTACTGGATTTTTAATATAATCTTCCAATCTGGCAGATGCTTCCTTTCCTTTCTTTGGCCGAATCAGCAGGTAAATTTTACCAACATCTGTTGTTCGAAGAAGTTTTTCCACAACAGCCATTCCAACAAAGCCAGTTGCCCCAGTGATAAAAATATTTTTATCCTTGTAAAATGTTTTCACTTCACTATCCTCCATTTCTGCAATTATCGTAACATAAAATAAATATTTCACAAATAAGATTGTATTGAAAGAGATTGTAAAAACTGAATGTTGAAAAATAGGAGAAATCTATTTTTGAGAAATAAAAAAACCAAAAAAAAAATGGTAGAAATATTTATTTATTTATAATTGTAAATACAATTATTTCAACAAATTTGAGGAATATGAAATTCTATTGTAATAATGGAACTATTTCAAAAACAGAAAAATACATCACTAATTCATGACTTTATGACAAGTACCAATAAAGCACAATATTCAACCAACGATATTATTAAAAATTTAAATACTGATTCTTAGAAAAAAAAAGTTTTAATTTTGAATTCACTTTTTCCAAAAGCATAATAAAAATATTGAGGATAAAGACATTAATTTTCTCAATGATTCAAAAAGTACTTTGGAGATTGGAACACAAGTTGTATCAAGAAACGACTACAATTTGAACAAAAATGGATAATGTTCCTCTTTTTATTGAGATATTTTATAACATCTATGCAAAATTCTTTAAAATGAGATTTTATAATGTTAATATTATTTTTTAAAAAAAACACGGTAAGTATTGATACACGATATCGCTTTAAAGTAAAATAATTCTTTGTAATTTTCTATCTTCATACATGTGATTTTAATTATTATTATTGAGGACAAACACATTAATTTTCTCAATGGTTCAAAAAGTACTTCGGAGACTGAAACACAGGTTGTATCAAGAAAAGACTACAATTTGACCAAAAATGGATAATTTTCCTCTTTCTATTGAGATATTTTATAACATCTATACACAATTCTTTAAAGGGGGATTTTATAATGTTAATATTATTAAAAATACAACAATCACATACAACAATACAAGATATCGCTTTAAAGTAAAACAATTCTTTGTAATTTTCTATCTTCATACATGTGATTTTAATTAAGAACAATTGTCATTTAAATATTTTAACCTGCTCTTATGTTTTCCGGAATAAGCTTAAACATATTTAGTTATTCTTTAGTCTTTATAAGTCAAACCTGAGGTTTATTTCAGATTTATTATTAGACTCATAGTAGTATAATGCTGCAATTTCAATAAAAATAATAAGAAAAATAAGTTGTGTTATATCTTGAATACGTTTAATCTTAACATAAACTTAAAATTGAAAAAACCAAGGAAAGTTAAAAAATTTCTAAGTATGAATCTAGACTCAGCTTGGAAAAGAAATAATAAACCAAAGTAACTGATACACTAAAAGAAAACTATTCCAACCAGTTCTTCAATCTCAAAATAGTATCACTGGAGAGAAATACATGTTGATCAACTAAATATAGCAGTGAAAGAATGAAGTGCAGTGAGGACTCCTGTTATTCACAATTCGAAACATGGAAATATCTGTACGTCCTAAGCTGATAGATAATAAACATCAAAACCAAAATTATTATTTATAAATAATAGAAACAATTACATTATATATTTTTATATCTATATAAAAAATATAGATATATTTCAATAGATTCAAACATTAGACTATAAAAGATGATTCACAGGATAATTACATCGCTATTTATTTCAAACTATAAATGATAAATTTAGATGATAAGAAACATAAAAGCATCTTTAGTACAGGGCAATATTCCTTTCTTAATGGAAAATAGCTTTTCTTGTTATTTTAAGCCTAAAATTCATTTCATCACAATGAATGGTTGAATATATATAATTTATATTTCCAAAAAATTAACTTTTTGTACATTTTCAAAAATTAGGTGCATCATTATAATTTTTAAAACGGAGGAACAATAGTAATATAGATTTAATTTACAAATTTAAAATGATTATTTACATGATTTCTGACGTTAATACAATTTCAAATGAAATTAATAAATTTACAATTGATACAACATTAGTGATGATTGTTTTTGTAACTTTTTTTCTTAATAGTAGAACTAAAGTAAATCAATCAAGTAAGTTTTAGATATGATAATGAAAATGTAACAAAATTAAAACTTACATTGGTTATTTGTAGAATAATCAATAATCATTAACTTAAAATCAGATAAAAACAACCCGAACCTGCTATCGATATTTGATTTAATATTTTTAGAATAATACTTAAAATAGGTTTAAAAATATATATAAATGTTCTTCATATTTATATTTCCTTCATAAATTACAATATTAACATAAAAAATAGTTGCGGCAATAAACTATTAACATTTCCTTATCACATTTTCAAACAGATGATAAACAAATGTAACTGAACAAGTAAAACCTTTTTCAGAAGAGAGAACAAAAGAGCTTTTATTTATTAAGTCAAATTAAATTAAGAGAGTAATTACATGTTCAATGATCAATACAACAAAATTGTCAGTGTTTTGCTCAAAACATAACAATATGTGTTGTTTTGTTATAATTGCATACAAAAAAAAAAAACAAAGGAAAGAAAAGAACTTTATTCCACAACGAGAAAAAATCACGTGGAATACTGATTAAGATGATAGTGTAAGCTGGGCTTAAAGATAAGGAAATTATTTAATTCTTAAGAACTTATCGGATACATAAAACAGCTGTGTAGGTTGTGATAGGAAATCAAATAATTTGAGGTAATACAATAGAATTATCTTTCTTTACTAAAATGTAATACTTACTTTATTACTGAAAATAAGACTTGTTTCACAGACCGACGACACTCACAACCCGGCTTCAAGACTGGACAGATCCCCACCTCAGTCAATCCCTCAATGAACTGTTGTGTGTGTCGTCACGGCAGTGTTGCCGGTAGTTCTCCCACCACTCCAGGTTACTAGCCTTCATTCCTATAACCCAAAATATATTATGAAAAATTTAACTAGATATGACTAGCCGCCGAATTTAAACTTTAAATTATAAAAACAATCAAGTGTGGTTTCTAATTCTACGTTCAAAATTAAATAGTACGTTATATAAATAAGACTTTTTGAATAAAGCATTACCAAATGTGGGAGACATATTTCTCATTACCGGCATTTCTCATTAAATTATGAAACGACTATACAAAATGACATTGCCAAGTTATCCTTTTGGAACCAAGATTAATTTAATAATTGACTGTTTCTAGCACAAGCCAAAAATGATATTTAGAGCCTCCAGAATTAAACTATTATAATCATGTGTATTAAATTATGTTATAAAATAGAAGAGTAATTTTAAATCCGCGATTGTTCTTATGTTTAATTATATATATATATATATATATATATATATATATATATATATATATATATATATATATATATATATACAGAGATATGATCTATGAGATTGTCCTATAAAAAAAATAAATAAACCCAGCTTAGTAATTAAGACATTATGTTAAAGCTTCAGTTTCAGTATCATTAATATTTTTAATTTCGCTAACTTATACATGGAATATATAGAATCGTACAAAGTACTGCTATAATACTGTTGCAAAATTTTCAACGAAAATACATGTTTAGAGGATCTCTGAATCCAAAAAAAACAAATTTCGTAAAATAGTCTGTGTTTGTTTCGGGTGAACAGCCTAGTTAGTAGACGAGTATTCTTCGGATCTTACAGAAACTGTTTCTATAAAATCGAAGTGGCAATATAAATAATCGAACTTACACATTTTTAGAGTTTTTTCAGAAATGGATCTAGCAATTTTGTAAAATTGGTTATGATAATGCGATATTAAGTTATCTTTAATATCAGGCAAATATTATTTTCATTGAAATATTCTGGCAGGCTTAAATCCCAAATGGTCGAAATTTCTTTCACTAAAGTGCCTTTAATTTTATTTATTTAAAATAATTGACCTTTTCACATTGCTAATAGTAATAAATAATTATTAAATATCGACTATGCAAGTATTTGATAATAAGTTAAGAAAAAAAAATATTAATAAGGTTGAACAAAAAACTAAGACCTCTCCATGAAGACTACAAGGCAGCTCGAGTATAATCTGAAGTTTATAATTACTTTCAAACGTTTAAAATTTGCTAAATCATATGTGAGGAACACTGAAACCGACCCTGTATGAGCGATTATATAAATGATAGATCTCATGTCAATTATTATATAATTAAATAAATTACGGCAATTGAAAACTAAAATGTATTTATAACTAATAAAAATACCCAATATAATAAAAAAACCTTTATCCTATATTACCTAGCTATGTCATAAATATTGTTACAAGGAAATATAGATTTCCATAGAAAAATTAATTTTTTTAAAAACTTTATTAGAAAATAAAATGTATATCTATGGAGAGTAAACCAAAAAAATAAATTATTCAAAATGTCTCCCTTTTGCCTTGACACAATATCCCTGGAGCCAGGGACCAAAAATCGACCTCATCGCAGGCGAAGGTTTGATTGTAAATTACTATAGTTTATGTTATTCTGAGTTAAAAAAAATTTGTCTGTCGTTCCAGAGCCACTGCTTTCAAAAATGGTGGCTGATTTAAAGAATATTAGGCCAATAATTTGAGGACCTAAACGAGAAATCCATAGCGAAAAATGTGAGAAAAGATTTTACATTTTTAACTTGTATATGTGGGTTTAGGCATGTAAACAACAAAATTGCTAACGCAGGTCACCAAGAGAAAACTTTTTACAGCCAAAAAAGTCAGATTTTTTCGACATTTTTTGGGGTTTTCCCTTATAACTCTTAAACAATGCATCAAAGTAAAAATGTATTCTTTAATAAATTAAAGAACATTAAATTTTGCGTCAAACGAGTACATAAACTTTAAAATTCGGTCACGCGGTAAGGTATAAAACCACGGTCAACCAACGCTGAATTCTACCAAATTTGTCAAAAACTAAGACAAATAAGAATAAATGGCTCTGTAACTTGGAAATGAATTCCCTAAGAGGAAAAACCCATAGAATCAAAGATGTAGAATATCAAATTTTGCGTATACTGGGAAGGTTCTTTTTACTCTAAATAACATACACCACTAGCTGATCCAGGATTTAATTTGGGGGAGGGGCTTCAGCCGGAAAGCGGTTTTTTTCATAAAAATAACGATAATTACTTTGGAAAAGATGAAAGAAACTAACTACCTGTATGAAATGGTGTTTAAGTGATTCCTAAAGCCCCTTTAAATGTAATTACACAAACAATAATACTTTAAGAGATACTTTTATTATATTTTTTTCGATAAAATACGGCTATATTTTACCATTTTGGAGGGGGAGGACTTCAGCCCGAAAGCTCCCCCGTAGATCCGCCCGTGACATACACTTTCGCAATTTACAATCAAACCTTCGCCTGTGATCAGGTCGATTTTTGGGCTGACCATGGATACAAGCATTTAATCTCCGTGGCCAGTCATCAATAGCAGCACGCAGCACTTATTGAAGAAAGCTCTCAACTGCTCGGACCAAAGCCGATAATCTAGTGGGTTGAGATTGAATATCGTCCTGATAGTTTTTAGCGGCTTTTTTAACTCCTCTTTCACAAAAATGGAGCTTTGTGGTGACGCCATCAAAGCTAACTCCTCATCAAACTATCACTGAGGAAGGGTGACCTTCTTCCACTCTTCCAATGACTTCCTGGACCTTTTTAGAGCTGTGTGCGTAAACAAGACCATTTTGGCGGTTAAATTTTTTTTCAATTGTAAACGTTTTCTCGTCCCTAAACAAAATCTTTCGATGAAGATCATTGATGTTACTGCCAAGGATCACTTTGCATCTAACCACAGTATTTTTTTTTAGAGAAGTGGTTAGCCTTTGTCCTGTCATTCTTCGAAATGCACCCATCCTGAATTAAATTAATAGAAAATAAAATATTTGTTTTTACTATGTGAGACATTGATCTGACAGAGATTACCATTTCCGGAGACAAAATTTGTTGTTTTCGAATGGGATTTCTTCTGATTCGAACAGTCACTGGTCTCAATGCATTTGCCGTTCTCACACCAGTCGAGGTCTTTCACATACAGATAGGTTCTCATTATATTTATTTATAGTGCGCTACACGAACTTACGTCTTATACCCAAAGATTTCAAAGTATTGAAAATCTCTGACCTAAATTTTCCAACTTAGTGTAAGGCGGTCACAGCTATTCGGTTTTCTTTATGAGCCCCATTCATGTTAACTGGGCGAAAGAAAAATACAAACTAATTGGTATTATTGTCGTGACATGTAGTAATGATTAGTTATAGACAAAAAGAAAGGTTGAGTAAGTTCCCAAATAAATCAATCTATATATTTTCAACAATTTACAACATCACTTGTTTTTACATTAACATCTCACAATAATAATAATCCATACTACATTATTCCCTAAAAGAAATTGAAAAATCCGCTCTTATTATTGAGTTAACCCAAAAACAAAGAAAAGTCACAGAGGATACGGCAGAAGATACTCATGTCCGTAGGAGAACTAAGATCGAGCAGAGAAATAGAATTGTAAATTCAGCAACAGAATGTATTCGTTGCGGATACCAGAAACATAAACAGGGTCATAAATGTCCACTTATTGAACACACCTGTGGGCTTTGCAATTCTTATGGTCATTAGAAAAGGAATTGTTCGAAATCTGACAATATTAAGCTAAATAAAAGAAAGAAAATCAAATCAGTAAATACGGATAAAGTTCAGATAATTAAGATAGCGAATATGAAGTCAACACCGTACTAGACGTCAACACGATTACTTCAGATAATTCTCGGTTTTTTTGTCAGGGTTCAATTAAACGACAAAAATATTCGAATGGAATATGACATAGCTGCTATACGGAACATTGTAGGAGAAAACGTATGGAAGTATATAGGAAATCAACCACTACAAAGGACCAATAATTTAAATGCTTATCCAAATTGAATTTGTTAGGGGAATGATCGGTGTCCGTTAAAGTAGGAATGTTTAAAACTGAAATTGGTCGTGATTGAAAACGATGCCAATCCTTTATTTGGTCGAGATTGGATAAAAGCATTCAAATTATACCCTATCAGTCTGGCCTGAGACGCCCTGGTGTGTACATCGTGTAATTCGTTCATATAATAGACTCAGTTTACTTTAATTTAATTTTCAGTTCAGTTAAGTTCAGTTTTTTTTTCTTCTCTTTTTTAAAAAAACACTATTATTAATCACGCTATTAAGTGTCGGATCTTCACAATAATCGGAGTAAAGAAAACGCAGCGAGATTGATAGAGTTCTGGGAGCAACGAGCTGGCAGGCGTCTACTAATCCTAACAGCATTAGACCAGCATTAGACGTTGTTTACTACCGCCAACAGTCTTGGTATTTATTTATATTTTAATTGCGAAGTAATTCTCATTAATAAATTTAAAAAATGGGGCAGTGTAATATTTGCAACAATTCTATCGCACGCGAAGATAAGAACAATATACACTGCGTTAAGTGTAAAATAATTTTTCATGGTAGGTGCGTCAACATTACTGATAAAGACACCGAAGCATTAAAAATAATTAAAAAAACATGGGTTTGCTCTAACTGCGAACAGGTGAAAAAACAAAATAACGAGCCGTCCCCCTCAGAAATACTTGCGGCAGTAAATCGTTTAGACGCTACCGTGAACGAAGATATAAAAAACATGAAAACAGCACTAGATAAATACGGAGAACTCAGTTTTGAACTAAACGAAAGACTGACGAAGATTGAAAAACATCTGGAAGGTCAAGCTAAAAAGTTTGAGGAGATATTATTAGAAAACAAAGAACTCAAATCCCGAGTGGGCGAATTAGAGGTTCGCTTGAATAACGCAGAGCAAGGACTATTGAGTAGATCACTGGAGATCCGCGGTATACCGGAGCGACCGGGCGAAACGCCCGCTGCTTTGGTGACCAGTATAGGAGCAAGCTTGGGGATCAGGCTTAGTGTGGAGGACCTGGACAACGTACATCGCCGCAGAAGCCGACAAGATGACTCGCGACCACCGCCTGTTATCGCACGCTTTGTCAGGCAATCTATTAGAGATGATCTAATTACGAAAAGGAAAGTGAAGAGGGATTTCTCCACGCGGGATATCGGTTGGCAGGAAAATGACTGCCACCGAATTTATCTGGGTGAAGAGATGACTCGCACAAACAGACATCTCTATTGGCTAGCCCGGCAGAAGAGAGCGGCGGGAAAAATCAAATATACGTGGTTTGCTTCCGGAAAG